CCGCCCCCGCCCCCCCCAGCTTCCCTGTTGACTGCTCTGATTTTTAACCTCATTGCAATAGTGTACATTGCTCAGGGAAATGTTGGGATTTATTTTCACATCTAGACGTTCATTCAAGGATGGTGATAATCCACCTCCAGACTGATTTTAAAATACAACCTTGGCCGAAAATGAGTATCTGAAGAACTCAGTGTAGGTGCAGCCCTAACCCCACTTCACGGTAGGCCTCCAGAGACCCAGCCCGCCTCTCTCTTAGCCCCAGGGTCCTTCTGGTCAGCAGGGGGTTGAGTGAGGAGCTGCGATCACAAGCCCAGGTCCTGGCATTTATTAAGCACCTACTGTGCCCCGGGTACTAAGCGAAGTCCTCGTCTGGCTCAGCTCCAGGTCCAGAGGCAAGGGCAGGCTGGAGGATTGAGATGTGGGCGCTGGGTCGGGTCTCAGCTCCTCCTCCCTGTGAGAGCCTGTTTTCTCAGCTGCAAACGGGGTTGGTAATGGAACCAAGCCCCCGGGTGACAGCACTGCGCACTCGGACAGGGGCAGGCAGCACTTAGACCAGCGGCTTGCAGACGTTGCACTCCACAGTAAGAAAGGCGGATTACAGCGAGGCCCGGTGTAACGTACTTGGGTCTGTGTAAAAGCGGGTGCGTGCACACCGCGTACGTCCGGATCACTCACATATGCTCTGGAGAGCAAAACCTCCCATACCGAGCTAGGGACAGCCCATTATTTTCCATCCTGTTCTGTTTGGGTTTTAAACGATGCCAGTCATACCCAGCTAAGTGGATTCACAAGCCATGGTTCGAAAAACTCTGCTTTAGAACAAGGCTTGGCCAATGAGCTCATCGAGGTTATTATCTTCCTACATCCCATTTTACAGAGAGGGAAACTGAGGCTTGTCCCTGATTACTGGTGGCAGGTGGCCACAGATGGCTGGTGGCAGGGCTCGAACTCCCAGCCAGTGCTCCCAGACTCTGAGTACACACTGGTTGACTCACAGTCCTGATCTGGCCTGCAGATAAGTTTTATTGGTCTATGCATTGCTTTTTTTCTTCTTTTAAACTTTGATTACACTGCATAAAACTTGGGAGACTGAGGCCGGCAGGTGGCATGGTGGTTAAGGTGCTGGATTCCCACACGGTTGACAGCAGTTCAAGTACCAGACCTGGCGACTTGCTTTCTCACTTTTCCCTTCTCTCAAATTAAAAATAATGATTATGATGATGAATAAAATGAAATAAAATATTTTTTTAAAGAGATCTTGGGAGGGCTGGCAGGTGGTGATGTGGTTAAGGGTGCTAGACTCCCACAGGGTCAGCTGTGGTTTGAGTCCCGGATCTGGCAGCTTGCTTTTATGTATCTCTCTCTCTCTCTGTCTGGCCCCCCTCTCTGTCCCCCTCTGGTCAAATTGGAAAATGGATTTTAAAAAAAAAGTTAAATAAAATTTTAAAAAAAAATAAAAGAGATCTTGGGAGACCAACTCAAAATCTAAATTTGGGGCCAGCCAACAGTAGGGTGTTTGGGGCAGCTGGATTCCACGTGGCTGACTGAGCAGTTCAAGTCTCAGTCCCGGCAGCCTGACAAACAGGCTCAGTGCGTGTGTACACGTGTCCAAGGTCCCAAGAGGAGGAAGGAGGATT